CCGATATTATATATGTATGTATGTATACGTATGTGTATGTTTGTGTGTAGATTAAAATGTTTAGTGGGTGTATGTATGTACGTATATGTATGTATACACGTATGTATGGAGACATCGGACTGGTGTATCTATATATACACACGTATGTCAATGTATGTATGTATATAATCCAACGCCAGCAATGCCATGACATTACTTTTGTTATTGTCCTGATGTTTGCGATCGTCGTGATTTAAATTCATGAGACGAGAGGCCGCCCTGAAAAAATCATGGCCGTCCTGAAAGAATCATGCGGGCCCGGGTCCGACGGGGATCGGTGGAAGATGCACCTGGAGCTCCCGTGCCTCGCGGCCCCGGGGGGCTCGGCCGGCGCAGCGGCGCAGGCCTCGGCCCACGAGGGGCCCACCGCGGCCCTCGAGGTAGCCGAGCAGGAGCCGGGGGCCAGGCGGCCCTGGACCTCGGGGCCCGGCGCGGGCCCCCCTTCGGGCGGGCAGTCCGCGGCGCCGGGGCCCGCCAAGAAGGCGGCGAAGACCTCCTACGCCGACCGCCAGAAGAAGATCGAGGCGAGCGGCAAGCGCCCGGACGGCCGGCACCTCCGCCACGGGGGGGCTGAGCTGTGCTTTGCATGGAACCGCAGCGCCGCAGGCTGCTCGTCGCCGTGCTCCGCTACGCCGGCGAGGAAGCACCTGCGCGAGTGGTGCTTGGGCGAGCACCGCGCCGGCGACGACAGCTGCCCGGCGCAGAACAGGCCCAGCGGCGGGCGCCCGGAGCGGCATGCAGGCAAGGGCGGTAGCAAGGGGCAGGGCGGCAAGCGCCCGCGGGGGTGATCGTCGGGCGCGGCGCCCTTCGCGCGGAGACGCATGCGCGCGTCCAGCACCCGTGCAAGCACGGCCATTCCGGATGTGATGTCCAGCAAGCGCAGGCGCATCTGTGCGCACAGTACTTGCACAAGCACGGCACCTTCAGCTACGCCGCCTGCCTCGACCCCCCCCCCCCCTTGACTCCCCCATCAACCATTATCACATCATCCGTCGTGGTGGGCGAGGAGGAGGAAAGGGAGGAGAGGGAGGGCGACGAGGGGCGCCACGATGCACGTCTCGCCGGGCGAATTCGCTCATCGGCATCCCGTTCGCCCTCTGCGCTAGCGGCTGCTGCGGGCCTCCGGGGGGCCAGTCGCGCGCGACCGCAACTTGGCCCGTCGAGCATGCGTTGCCAACCGCTCCTACGGGGCCCTAGCTCAGGGGACCCCGCGGGCGGGCGCGTGTGCCCAGGGCCGCCGGCCACAGCTCCAGGGCGTTCCTGTTGGGCCGTCGCGCGGCCGCGCGTTCCACGGCATCTTTCGCAGGCGCGAGATGTCCGGGCGCGGCTCGCTCGGCTCTGCCACCCTCCCCGCGCAAGCGGCTGTAAGGTCGTGCTGTTCGAGATGGCGGACGGGTCTGCTGCGCTTTCCCTGGAGCTTTCGCGCCGGCTGTCGGGCGCGGCCACCCTCGCCCTGAACATTACGGAGGTCGTTGAGGAAACCCGAGCTCGTATCCTGTCTTACCGCCAGGCCGGGTACCTCGTCATCGTGCGCGCTCGCCCGCCCGGGGCGACGTTTTCGTGCGCCCGGGACAGGAGTGCGCGGACTCAGGTTCGGTCTAACCAGACCCCGTGGGGTCTGGAGCCGCGAACGCAGCGGGTCGTCGAGGCGAATTGTATAGTCTGATTGGTTGTAGACTGCAGGTTAAGTGGGAGGGGGTGTGGGCTCAGGTAGCCATTTTGGGTCCGTAGCGTTCGGCTCTGGCCGACGCGCGGGTGTTCCAGGGGGCCGCGGGGCGGCCATAACCACAGCCGTGCTAGTCCGCGGACTAGGTAGCGCGCTTGTGGTGCCATGGCTGTGGGCTTCCTGGGGGCGCACCTGATGATCTTGGTTACGGGCGGCGCTCTCACGGTCCAAGGGGCACTTGGCTGGCTGCCGTTCGGGCGCGGGGGACAGGAGGTCCCAGCGCCGACGCCGCCAGCCCTGCCCGGGCCGACAGCGCTGCCGGCAGGCGGTGGGGGGCGAGGCAAGGGGCGAGGACCGCCCGCCAAGCCCGCGCCTGCAGGGGGAAAGGGGCGAGGGCCGCAGGCCAAGCCCCCGGGGGCGCCGGGCGTCCCACCGCCGCCGCGGTCAGGGTCGACTACAACGACCACGACCGCGGGCATCGGGCGCGTAGGCGAGGGCGAGCCCACGGGCAGCCCAACTACGCCGGCGCACGGAGGTAACAACGAGCCCACGGGCGCGCCTGGGCAGCCGTCCGCCCCGGGAAACCGGACGGGCGATGGTGAGCCTGACCTGCCGCGTGGGCTGGACGGGTATTGGGGGTGGAGTGGTTGGGTCCCGCACCTGCCCCATTGGTGGGCTGGCCGGAACGTACCCCCACCGCCGCCGCCGCCACCTACCCCGCCCCCGGAGGCGGGGCCGGGTCCCGGTTGGGGCTTCGCAGCCTGGGTCTTCGAGTTCGTGGGCTACGGAGCGTGGGTAAGCTCCCCCGACCACCCGGGCACGATCCGCACGAGTGGCGGATGGATTGGATCCGCCGTCGACCGCCTGGGCGTTAAGATGCTTGGGTACTGGTGGGAGACCGCGGTCCTATGCTTTGCCCTAGGCATCTTCACGTTCGTGTTGGGTGCCCTGGCCTTCATCGTCAACACCGCAGCCCAGCCTATGCTGTGGGCAGCCGGGGGACTCCGCTGGGCGTGGTACCAGATTACCCGGTGCTGCCAGCGACGCGGAGGCGATGGGCCCGGCGCCCATCTTCCCCCACCCCCTCCGACTCCCTTGCTGGTGCGCTGGCGCGGGCCGGGCTTGGGCGGCGTGGTGGAGACGGAGTTCTACACAAAGGGGGTCCGCGGCCGAGGGACCAATCGGGCGTACAACCACGTGCTTCTGCGCAAGCACGGGCAGGTGGCCCGCATCAGCTGCAACTTCGCGGACCGGTACCGACTGGACCGCCACGGGCTCAACATCAAGATCGGGCAGGTCCTGGGGTGCACCAGTCGCAAGTGGCGGCTGAACCTCGAGGAGACAGGGAATGTGCATCTATGTCGTGCCGTCGAGTGCGCCTCCTGTCCAGTGGCGCATCCCATGCATGTCGACCAGTACGCGGCCATTGACCACACACAGATCGTGGACTTGGCTGAGCACGGAAAGGCCACGGCCTGCCGGGCAGTCGGCGTGGGACTCCGGAAGGTATTCGGGGTCGTCAAGTGGCTGCTTTGCTCACCCTGGTCGGTGCTCGGATGGCTGTGCCGGGGCCGGCCGGAGCCCCGCTACATCACCGACGCCGCGGGCTATCGCCGCCTGGACATCGATTCGGAGAGCGAGGTGGAGGCGGAGGAGCGCCCCTGCCAAGCCGCACAAGTTGGGGTGCAGCTCGCGGGTGGCGCACGCCCCCTCCAGCCGGAGGGGTGCGGCGACCGAGGGATGCAGGAGGCTACTGTTCTGCTACAGGAGGACGCGGAGGTGTCGGACGTCCCCCGGCCGGGGCATTGTCTCAATGCACAGGTGCACCTCTGCGCCCACCATGCGCAGAAGTATCGGTCTACCCTGATCGGCCGCAAGTGCAGCCTCCCCACTTGTCTCCGCATGGCGAAGGGTAGCTGCGGGGGGGCCCCGATGTGCGGGGAACATCTCCGACGGGACGAGGGTCACACCGTGCGCGTCGAAGCGACGGTCCAACCTGGGATTCTCGGGGGCCTGCGCCGCCGCGTGCGGGCGCGGGCTCCGAGCCCCGCCAGGGCGCGCGATTGGACCGCGCACGCTGCCGATGGGGTTGGCATAGCGCCCGGGCCGGTCTACCCCCCGCCTCTACCTCCCCCCGCTGCACCGCCACCGCCCGCCGTGGCCCCATCTGTCGATGTGGAGCCCACGGGGGCGCAGGCCCTAGCCTCTGGGCCGCAGCCGCGTCGCACACGCTCCGCGGAAGCAAGGGCCAGCGGACGCTCACGGTCTGCCGACCGCGGAGCCCCGGGCGATCGGATCGCCCATCACGGGTGGCTTCAGGAGCCCCTACTCGTGAAGGTCTGCCCGATACTTCCGGGCGACCCTCGGGGGGCCGAGGAGGCGTGCGGCGCGCCCCCGGCGAGTCCTTGGTTTATTCTATTGGGAGAATGCGAGGGGCTCGACGCACGGGGCACTGGCGGGGACGCCCGACTTATCATCGGGACTAGCCTCGAGGGCGTCAGGGTGGAGGTCCCAGCCAGCGAGTCGTACGGCACCCCCCTCCGCTGGAGGACGGGCGCTACCCGATAGATTGGATCAATCGGCTGCTGTACGAGGTCCCCCAAGGGGCTCGGGAAGTGGGGTTGCGTGTCATCGCCCACCACATCCCGCAGGATCTGCTGGCGATGTTACGCCAGGAGCAGTGGGACGGTGTGGACGTGGAAAGCGCGAGCGGCTGGAGGCGGCGCTACCTGACGAACACGGAGCGCCAGCAGCTGCAGCACGACCCGGTGCGCACACTCGGCCACCATCGGCGGGGCGGCGCGCAGGGGGCGCAGCCTGCGCCCGGGATGGAGGGCTTGCCCCGTCCAGCCCCCGCGGCGGCACCGTCGCGCTTGGCGGCGGCCGCCGCCTGCGCGAGCGAGGATGCTGAGGAGCCCGACCCACTCGAAATGTTCATGGATTCCTTGCGAGCCGAGGATCTCAAAGGACGGGGGGGCCAAGCGGCGGCCCTCAGTGCATTAGGTATGGCCGCGGACCTGCTCGGGGTTCCGCTTGATCAGGCGGTACGGCAGCTGCGGCGAAGGGTCGCACAGGTGGCAGCGGCGGGCCCACTGGGGTCCGACCTGGAGCGCGCCCTCGCGGATTTGGAGGATGCGCAGCTGGAAGCGCGCGCGCGGGAGCGTGCTGCGGCCGCCGACAGGGTTCCCCTGCAGGGCAGCCTCTCACGCGAGGGGTCGCGGAGTCGCTCGGCGCGGGGACGGGATCCCAGCCCGAAGCAGGGGCCCCGACGCGAGCTCTTCGGGGCCATGCCCCCCATCCAACCCACGGGCCCACGACGGGGCTTGCTGGGTGATCGGGACCTGCTGGCACGCGATGGACGCGGGGGGGCCGCTCGTGGGGCCAATCCGCTCCTCGACGGGGCCTCGGTCCTTGGCCACCTCACTGGCCAGACGCCCCACGGGGGCGGCCTGGGTGGGGAGCGAGCTGGGGGTCCAGACGACGCCGGGGCGGCGGGCGCCCTAGGCGGGCTTACAGCCGAGGCCGAAGCCCAGATCATCGAGCGCCTGGATCGCCAGAACCGCCTCACCGAACGCCACGTCCTCGCCGCCGAGCGGCAGGCGCGGGCCACCGAGGGCGACAAGAAGGCCCGGGGCACCAGGGCAGGGATCGGTCGGGACGAGGAACTTGATCTTTACATAGCCCGGGGATGCAACACTGCGAGGGGATCACGGGGAAGGACTTGTTCGACTCTCTCAAGCGCATGTGTGCGCACTCCAAGAGCACCCTCAAGACGATCGGGTTTCCCTGCCTGGTTACCAACCGTGTGGCGCACGGCTACGCGGCGCTCGCCTTCGGGACGGGCCCTCACGACCTGGCGGTGGACGACTGCGTCCCCGCGCGTGACGAGGACTTCGATGGCTATCGGCTCCCTGTGGACGACAAGCTGGAGCCCCGCCAGCGGCCCGCCACCCACATGGCGACTTGGTTCAAGAGGGCCCGGTGCGAGATCCAGATGTTCGAGTCCATCGTAGGGGTCGCACATGGGGCGGAGCGTCGGCGGTCGTTAGGGTTCGTGGAGGCGGCCTTCGAGAGGGACCCCTCGGAGTTCCCAGACCATTGGGTCAAGGATCTGTGGGAAGAGCTCCGAAGCACCTGGGTCGAGGAGTTACGGGAGCTGAGGCGTCGGCTCTGCCGAGAGCTCGACACCGAGAACCCGAGGAGGGAGGACATCAAGTACATCCTACTCATGCCGGAGAACGGCTACGATTTGCCCCGAACGTTCGACCTCGGGGACCCGAACGCCTACTACCAGCAGGTGGTCGTGCCCCGGCGCAAGGCCGCACTCACGCGCCTCCTCAATGGGCAGCTGAACGCCCACCTCACGAAGCGACCGCCCAAAGCGGGAGGGAGCGAGGAAATGGGCGATCCCCGGCCCACGGCGCAGGGGGATGACAGGCCCAAGGCGGGGGCTGGGCCCCAGCCGAAGGCGGGACCCAAGGCGGGCACCGGGGCCCCAGCGGGGACAGCTCCCAAGAGGGCGTACCCAGCGGGCAAGGAACTAACACGCCCGGAGCGTACGCGATCCGTGGCGCATGCGCCCCGCAATAAGGACAACGTCCCTATCTGCTGGGGGGCCACCACGCACATGGGCTGCTCGCGGAAGGCTTGCGATTGCCCTAACTCCCATGACCCCATCAAGTCAACGCGCGGATTGGACTACTCGGTAGTCATGCAGCTCACGAGGCGCGGGGGGCTCCTTGGGACGCCCCGGATCGATCCCAAGCAGGTGGATGGGATGATTGCGCAGCTGCGCTCGCAAGCCAAGGCAGCCGAGGCCGAGAAGGTTGGCGAGGACACTTCACCACCTGCTGCCCCTGACTCCCAGAAGGAAAAGGGCCGTGGCCGTGGCAGCGGCTCGCGAGCAGCG